ATTGCCACGACTGTCCTTGGGTCACAGGGCAGATGTAAATTTCAAGGAAGGCCAGTTGCTTTACCATATCATATGTTTGGTGGAAGTGTCGGTGAAGCAAAGTTATACTTGCTATAACAATCGACTATGAGTAGGGTTTCGAGACCACCAGTAAATCAGTTATATGAAATGTATTCACCTTATTTCGTCTAAGGTCCATAAGGACTTGTAGTTAAATTTTCCCACCTAATGTGACTGGAGCTGACGTGCAATTGAATTTCAATGGAAACTTCAGCTCTACTCACATGATTGTGGAAAAATACAACTTTTGTGAAGACATTTATTTGGTATGGAAGTACATGATGAAGAAATTCGTAGATCAATCCTCCCAGAATACACCGGCTGATTCGCGTTGTACTGCAGCCGTTTGACGTTAATACGACGTACATGTTGATGCAGTCCCCGAGATATCCTCCAACGGGCTGATCTTTAGTTATTCATGTGACGAACATCGTCAGAATCGGGTATTATTCTTGCAAAAACCTCAAGTTAGCAATAAGTCAAGAAAATTTAACCACCACTCTTTCATCACCTTAAACAATATAGGATGAATACATCTGACACAACTAATTTACTGGTATTTTCGAGTCCATAGTTATGAACAAAAAATCAAGTGAAGAGCATTGGCTGCACGAATTTGGACGGACAATGTACTAAGACAAGGGGTTGAGAAAGGCCATTACAATTCTTTGAAAAGTCGGACCTTACTTGCCACTTTGATTAATTGTTACTCGGTTGGGTACTGCCCACTGAAAATGCCGTTTACGAGCTGGTAAACACTGTGGGAACACCCTGCCAACGGTCAGGCATTGTAAGCATAAAGTATAACACATAAAGAGGACTGAACAAACGACCATGCTTTGTTGAAAATTCTTAAATACTGGCTCTTAGATTGACTTGGCAGGATTTAGTAAATTGGTCTTGTTGCCTCAAATTTCAGTGAACGAACTTTGTACAATTGTAATTAAATGGAAATGCCTCATCAATGTATCTTGACCGAAGGTTAGGAAGCTCTAAATACTGAAATATGTGCACTAATTTTGGAGCCAAGAGGGAGGACCTACGGCTGAAAAAGGTAGAGCAGAGGATCTTCAGCTTACCAGTTGTAGTGGTACATCAAAGTACGAGAGAAAGTGTAGTAATATTGAATTTGAAGAGTGGCAATAGCCTGAACTTTATGAGGATGATGAGTTTGATCAAATCATAGAAACCCGGATTCAATTAACATTTAATCTTAATGCAGAATATCGCCAACCGATATTTGCTCCGGATTGCATCGAAATGTCGCCTAGTCTTTGAACTGGTTTTTTTTTCAATGGGGAAAAATTTTATATTTAGCGATTGGCACTAGAAAATAAAACAAGTTCTAAAGTGTTCTGAAATATTGTTGTGGTATGAGAGGTCATGAACCGCCTAGAATTCGGGCAAAACTCAAAATAATTGTACTCAAAATCAATGGGTAAAGAGGCACTTCTTAACGCTTAAGCTTGAGTTCTTTACAAAAATAAAGAGGTCCAATTAATATATCATTGGCTTTGGTTTTAATTAATTTCTAAGCTAGTCAACTTACCATCACGAGCGCAACCTCAGTGATACATTTCCTTGGGTCAAAACTGATGACATTATTCTGCTCTGAGTTCTAGGGACGATCACTTTGGTTTTGTATGGCCGCACATTCACAAATGCATACACACGCATGTCTAGATATACATCAGTATTGATAAATATCGTGAGGAAATAGCCATGTATTTATATATCTGAGTAGATAAAGCAAGGTTTAAGCATGCATCCTTGCAGCCAAAAGAGGCTATCTCAAGAACTGCTTTAGCCTGAACATTCGAGTAAAACCAAACAGCACGAAAATTAGTTCGGATACGAAAGATTTTTCGAAAACTATTTTCATTTAATGTATACAAATATAATAAAGCCTTATGATGTCGGATTCAAATTGGGAAGAAAAAAAAATTATATTGAGACTTACTTGTATGGCATATCGGAACCTTGAACCACTGGAGGTTGAGGCGTTTCCAGCGCAACTAACTGGGGTTCTCCCCCGAAAGTATGCTCCGTCAGGGTCTACAAAAGCTTGTCAATGCCTTGTTGTCACGGGACCAGTGCTCCACTGTCTGGCCGACATTGGTGTTCTCTTGGCGCAGAGCAGAGTACACGAGTTGAAGATGCCAAGGGATTATCACTCTTATTTCCTCCTATTCGCAGACAACCATGCATAAACGCTAATTGTACGCATCTATCTATCGCCCTCTCTCTTCCCTTTTGGTATGGTCTTTGGATTCCTTCTCATCCAGCCAGACACAAGCCCGACCATCTACTCACACCACATTCCGCCTCCCCGCCCTTCCAACCCCTTCAGTCTAGGCATCTTCTCCCATTGGAGGCCAGGTCTAGAGGCAGCAATAAAAGTCAGCTTGGTCCAGAGAGAGAGAGAGAGAGAGAGAGGGAGGGAGGAGCGTGCGGCTGGGTGCTGAGTGAAGAGGCTCAAGTGAGAGATCTGCGGGAGGCACTACGAAAACAAATGGACAATGCTGGATGCGGTAGTGCTAGAAATGGACGAAGGGAGGGAGGATGGGCGAGGGAAGGCTGGTAGATCAGCTCTGTCTCCTCTCCGTACCGCGTCTCTTCTGGGGACAGAGACAATTGCCACTCGGACGGTCTCAAACCTGAATAATGGCGGCTGAAGTCTGCTCGTGGGTGTACTCATTTCCCAATCGCTGAGATGAGCCTAAATTTGAGTTTAGGTGCATAAAGGCCACCGGCCAATTGAATGCTATCAGCCAAGAGTGCTCACTCCTTGCGAGCTCTTTTAAGACTTTATTTGAGTTCCCGTCATAGTGTGTGGACTCACATACATCCTTGAGAGTGTTTGCATACATACAAAAAGAGTAGTTGATGAATGAGTGTCAAAGAGTGAGATGGAGTAGGAGAGAGGCGCAAGCTGGGAGGAGAGGAATGCAGATTGTCAAGTGTTTACAAGGCTGCTCTCTCCCTCCCCCCCTCTCTCTCTCTCTCTCTCTCTTTATTAAACTTCTTCGCCACTTCGTCTAGCGGCATCATCTTTCCCATCTTCCCCGGCCGGAAGGCATCGGCCAGTTGCTCACGCGCATTGGCTGCCTCACGGACCAGGTGTGTCAGTGTTATCTTGTAGCATTTTCCTTCCATTCTGCTCTCCAACTTTTTCGTTCTATCTGGTCGGCCTTGAGTCGTCTTGCCGCATCTTCCAAGCAGTCCTTGTCTGTCTGCTCTGTCGGGTTGTTCTGTCCACACGGGCTGCCTTTGGCATTTTTGCCGATTGCCCTAGTTTCAATGGGCAACACATGCACAACCAGACTTGTGTGCGTCGGTATGAATTGCCCAAACATGGTTGGCTGGACGCACGGGCCGACTGGTTTGCCCGGTCTTCCTACTCGAGCCGACTGCTCAGCTCATAGTGGGGCCAGATGACAGACTCTGGGGACTCATGAGAGAATCTCAGTCTGACAACAGGTGAGGAATTACTGGACCAGCAAAGGGATGCGGAAGGATTCAAGAGTGAGAGAGGGACAAATAAATACAGAAGCGAGTAAGCGTTTACAGACAGACTCATTTATCTGGCGGTTTGCATCAGATGTTTAACCTGCGAAACGCCCACAAGAGCAAACCCTATGCTATTCAAGGGCAAGTAAGTTAAGTCGACATTTAAAATGCCATTTTTAAAGTCAGGTTTGCTTGTCACTCGGCCAACATCTTGTCTAAAAACTACGCTTGATGGTTGAGCCGGAAAGCGGTCTTGAGGCTACATTCCGCCCACGACAGAACTTCAGGGAAATTTAATTGGTCGCCTTGACAACTAAAGCACTCTGCTGATCACTTTGACCCAGAAACGTCAGGTTATTTCACAAAAGTGTTCATCTCCCAATATGGAAACAGAAACCAGATCTATAACCGATTATATACTTCAACCTCTTAGATATCAGGAACCCAGATATTATTTCTCAGATATTCGGTAAAAGAAAAAAAATATAGAAGAGCCCCTTTTTTCGAACAAGGTTGCCGGAAATCTGGGATGACT